TCCATCTCGTCCATCGGTGCAAACCGACTTAGATCAACGCTTGGCATTGCTTCTAGAGCAGCTCCCATGAACCGGTGACATGGCCAGGCCACATGGCACACCAAGCAGTGCCATTGTGGGGCCGGCTGGCATGGCATGTGGACCCCTGGCCCCACTGCTACATCCACTTGGTCCTTTTGTTCATATTTGTCACCATTTTGGCATATTTTTGCTATATTTTCCTGCATACAAATAGTTCTACAAGCACAAGTGAAACTAGGTGAATTATAAACAAAATGCAACATTTGTGATGACGTTGTACCTCACTTTATCATGCTTTTGGGTGGAATGTTGATGGTAAAAATAGGCGTTAGTGACCATCAACACCAGCGGTAAAAATTCGAGCATCTACACCCCGCGGGTCTGCTAATGCCGCTCCCTGTGCTGACGGTCGTCTAGATGGACATCGGCCTCGACTTCATTGAGGCGCTACCGCACATGGGCAGTAGGTTTATCATTCTCACTATGGTGGATCGCTCCAGTAAGTACTGTCACTTCATTCCACTCGCTCCGTCCTAAACGCATCTAGGCCCCTAGTGGGTTTCGGTGATTAATGACGACATAAGATTATTGTGACTAACGTGTGTTTTGTATAGGCAATTTATGTTAGGTCACAATAATGATGATTGTTTGGGCAATCAATGGTTTTCATGCCCCTATCGTTGGAAATCATTTTAGTTTTCAAAGGATGGACGACAAGGTTACAAGAATCCTGTTAATCCATGATGAATTCTCAATGATGAATTTGGAGACCGTCACCACGACAAAGGCAAAATCTATGACAATCATTTATTTTTCATCATGGATCTTTGCCAATAGATACCCAACCCATTAACTCGTGGCAATTTTATCCTCGGCCATCACAGTTTATGAGTTTAAATTCATCATAGTCTACTTAACTCAAAACAATAGGTCAGCCTATCATATATTTGGTTCAAAGAGAAAAGAATCAAAGAAAGTAGAAATCAAACCCAAGAGTGCAAAAAAATAGAACCACATATTTTCTCGCAAAAAAGAACCACTATATTTGGTGTCAAGGGAAAAATAAAAAATGTGAATGAAAAAAGATAAAACATGAAGTCTACCAAATTGTATGTAGCGTTGTTTTTTCACCGACCGCCATGAATTGCATACAAATAAAAAAAATTGGTCCGCATCATCATAGTGACGCATGTCGATTTTAGAACTAGGAATGGTCGTAAACTTATGGATTATTCTGTGCATTAATTTATACCAACAACAAACAAGGCATGGCCGTGGAAGGTGAAAGAATCTGAATTGCTTCAGAAGAATGTTTCACTTCCATTAACCATTCCTTTGACGGTTCCGCTCTAGGGGAAACTTCCTTTGTGTGCTTTTCATGCCATAGTAACTTTGAGGTACTGTAATAATCCTCAAATTTGATAGGGAACTTCGAAGGATGAAGCATTGTTTCCTTCGGTGTTCGTGGTTCGGGTGAGGGCTTTTGAGTCGAATCTAAGGATGGTATAGGTTTGGATTCGACTAATGAAGACTCTTCAACACTCGACATGACTTTGCCCTAGAGGGGTTTGGTTCTTATGACAGAAGAAGTGTGTTTGGCTATGAAGTGCTCAAGGAATTCTACTTGTTTCATCATAGTTTGTGGGTAAATGTACCTCTGGTGGTCATGTTGAGGCACAGGTCAGCATCCATGTCAATACCCAAACAAAAGAGTCACATCAATATGCTATTGGGTAAAGATAAGTCTAGACTGGCGTGTATTAACGCTGAAAATCTAGCCCAGGCTGCACCTATAGACTCCTCATGCTGCTCGAAATCGAGGATCGCCCTTGGTAGAGAGGTTGCGGGACATAGGGAAGATAGCAAAGTAAAACTTGTCTTTAAGTTCTTCCCAATCCCCATTCGTACTTCCTACGGCATCTGTGTACCATTATTTCGCCTTCTCCATGAGAGAAAAGAGCAACAATTTCCACCTTAAGGTTTCTTATGTCATGCCTGAGATGCTCAGGCACAAACACATTTCCTCGAACTCTCGTAGGTGATGGCAATGGTTTTCGTTTTCACGCCCTGAGAAGGATTGTGCCTGAACCATGGTTTTTTAACTAGGGTGTAGTTCATAGCCAGATGAGAGGTTAGGTTTTGAAACTGGTGATTGCTCAAGCAACTCCCCCTTTGAAGCGGAAGGGTTTGAATTTTGAGTAGGCTTCAAGATAAAAAGGATAAAAGAAATACTTTTGTTTTTTATAAAAGAAAAGATAAAAGATACCGATACGAGGACGAACTAGGTTTGAAGAAAATAGCATCTGTTCCTCGGCAACGGTGCCAGAAAGTTTGTTGGTATTTCTTAACGCAAACAGAAAGGTTCCACAAGCGCACGGAATTACCGTTGTAGTTTTCACCCAGAAGTATTCAGGGTATCGTATTTCCACAGGGAACAAAGGTACTTCTTCTAGCTAGTTCATCCAAGGACAACACAAGGGGTAAATTTGGAAAGGGTAGACAAGGATTCCTATGGTTTTTGGGTCTAAGGACAGGTAAACTCTACTTTCACTTGCTTACTTCGGGCACCGGAGCGCACTAGGTCTGCCAGGCAATATTGGCCTATAGCTCTACGCCATACTCGGATATGGGGGATTACGAGGGACGGACAAGGCTGTCACCACCTGCCGCCTACCCTCAACTGTAGGGCACGAGGCAAACGAAGATAGCCTCTAGCCTAGACACCACGTCTACGCTATCGACTACTACTCTAGCATCGCGCAGGGTTATCCGTCTTTATCAGGGTCCTTTACTAGAGTAGCCGCTACAATAACGAATGATGATCCCGCAAACAAGTAAGAGTAAAGATTAACTAATCAAAAGACTTATAACCATAAGAGCCATGAACAATCACTTAGCGTATACTTCGTTGAGGCACAAGTGTTCGTCGAGATACAAGCTCGGGGGGACACCGACATGTCCGACACTTCCCCGTACTCTTCTCTCACATCTCTCCCAAATACTCAACTCTACTAGCTATGGCCAAAGCCTTGGAGTGATGCTCAAGTGTGGTGCTCTTTCCCTTGGTGTCCTATTGGAATGAAGAGGGAGAGGTCCTCCTTTTATAGGGGGAGAGGAGGGGGGTCCTTCGAAATATGCTTGATCCCCATATGGAAGGAGCAAACCAACCTCAAACCGTCATTTAGGTATATTGAATCTGCTCGACACCTAGTTAACCACCTTTGGGACGTCGGTTGGAGGAAGCCCGCACGAAATGGTGGCATTTGGGATAGCTAGGGGTACGGGTGCACCATGGTTGCGGCCGCACCCTGGCTGGGCCGAAACGCCCCCGTCTTTGCTGTGTTGTCTCCCTTGATCATTGTGACATGGCCCATGTGGGTTTTGCACGAAGTTAGAGTGATTTGCTTCGGGTATGGGCTTCTCCTCCTCTCATCTGGGCCCTGATTTGGTCCTGTAGTGGACCTTCTCCCCCTTGTCTCTTTTGCTTTGCGCAATATAGTGGTATGCTTTGTTTTTTTGTGCTCTTTGAATGTGTTTTCTATGTATTTCATAGATGCCCTCTTGTACTATGAATAAATACCAAAACTTGTGTAATTCGTTAGGTATAAACCATATTACTAAATTTAGTGTTCATTTTAGTGGATTTTATGTAATAGTTGGCGGTTAAAAGTGTGAGTTAAGGACCGCCGACAAAATGGATTTTAGAACCCGAGAAAATATGAAAGGTTGTAAAAATGCAGAAAAATATAAAAAAAGAAAATAAAAAAGATTGTAAAATAGAGAAAAACAGCACGCACAGTGAGAATCTAACCCTGCCGTAGTGAAATAGCCAAATCATATCACCACCACATTCGTTATCCAGTCAACATGGTCCAGGAACCGAAAAAAATAAGAAAAAATGGCAGATGCACGGAGAGTAGAACTTGAGATCAATGCAACGGGTTGTTTACTTGTATAGGCCTTACAACTACACCACTCCATCAGGTGTTGGCAGATAATGAATTAGTATCATTAGATTAGACAAAGATAAATTACTTTTGTTCTTTAATTAAAAAAGTAAAAATTAAATTATAGGGAAGATTTGAAGACTACTGATACAGCATAGTATTTGGCCCACTCTTAAATGAGGCTTTTCCTCGTGTGTTATTATAAAAGTTGGTAATTACTCATAAGTCATTAAAAAAATTAAGTTCTCACATGTGCCACTACTCTGAACTCTTTTATCCTCCACGCTACTTACGTCAGATTTGGCTATAACAGTGTCAAACCGCGGTTGTAAAAAGTTCAAAATACCCTCAGGTCTGAATATGTAATTAATTTTTTTGGGAATCTTAATGACCTCAAATAAAAAAAACTCAAAACTATAAAGTATCGAGATCTATAATATTTGTATAAAAAATTATCTTCATTTGATTCCGTATAAAAAATGTGATTTTTCTAAGACATTATTTTTTTGTACGGAATCAAATGAAGATATTTTTTTATAAAAATATTGTAGATCTCGATGAGATCTACAACTTTCTAATTTTGAGTTTTTTCATTTGAGGTAATTAAGATGCCTAAAAAATTAATTGCATATTTGGACCTGAGGTTATTTTATATAATTTTCACAACCGTGATTTGACATCGTTAGAGTCAAATCTAACGGAATTGGCATAGAGAGAAAAAAAGTTCAGTGGCACCTGTGAGATCTTAACTGTTATAATGACTTGTAGGTAATTACTGAATTTTATAATGGCATACGAGTAGAAGCCTCCTCTTAAATTAGCAGGCCACCTAATGCTCGAGACAACCTCATCCATCCATCTTGATCCAAGGGCTGCGGATGCAATCTTACTCGTATAAAATTTCACGCCGAAAACCCTATCCGTGCCCACCCCTTCACTTTCCCAGGTCCCGCCCGCCCGCGGCCGCATCCCACCGCCGCCGGCCCCTGCTCCTCCCACCTGCCTGGCCCTCAGCTCCCTCCCCGGCCATTGATGACCGCCGTGGGGAGGCGATTCGTGCTCGTGCAGCTAGAAGGTGATTCGTGCTCGCGCAGCTGGAGAGGAAGGTTGAGAGCCGCACCCTCGCGCGTAAATACTGCGGCTGCTGGATCTCGCACGCCCCTCGCACGCGGCCAAGGTGGCGGCGACTGGATCTGCGGCTGCCGGGTCTTGGCAGCAGCGGGCCCACGCCTCTGGCGGCAACCGGGCACACGTCGCGCATGCCCTTGCCTGCTCGCCGGTAGCCGGGGTCTTGCACCTGCGGCTGCAGAGGCAGTGGTCGGGGCGATGAGCCGCTCCCGCGCCAACGGGAGCGCGGCCAGGGCTGCGGCGGCCGGATCCCGCGCGTCCATGAAGAGTTTGCTCAAGCTGGCATCCGAATGCGTGCAGGTACGATGGTGGATGTCTGACAGTGACTCGATATCTCCAGTTTGGTGGATCTAATTTTCTGTTGGTTTGCAGGAGCACTGGATGAACATGCTATCTGCGTTCTGTAATTTGCCTCTCATTAACTGAATGGTGGGTTTGTTTCTGTTGGTTTGCAGGAGCACTGGATGAACATGCTATCTGCGTTCTGTAATTGGCCGCTCACTAACTGAATGGTGGATTTGTGCAGGTTATATTTCATTGGACTCCCCCAAAAAAGAAGCTGCTCCACTCTGTGATGCTAATAATTTTGACTACTGCTCAAGCTGATATACTATTTCCCATGGTCATCTTTCCATTCTTTATGCTAGAGTGCTAATCTACAGTTCACCTATACAGAAAATAAAGCATTCTGTCTCTTGGATTTTTTCTGGATATGCATGTGCTTGTTGATTAAATGTTGTGGCTACCTAGAGATAGTAACAATTGAAATATACTAATCTTCGTACAGAATTTATTTACTAGTTCACTGAAGTTTGTCCTGGGGTTTTGATTAATAATAGCTAGTTATAGAGCTCCTTTGGTGGACTGTACGTGCCTGTTAGCATAACCAGCCTTATTTTTTAGGGAACAGTACGATGGTCCATGATTATTAGTATGCGGACTTTCATCTTTTTCGATAACGAGCTCTTTTCTGTATTGTTTTTTCCAGCATGACAAGGCAATAGTGCCAAACCTACTCGAAATAATAACTACAAAGTTGGAGGGGATGGAACTGTTGCTGGGATGGAGGGGGCAAAACAACTACATGGATGGAGGTGATAAATGTTATCGATGTTGGTTGTATGAATTAGTATTGTTGTAAATCTCTTAATCATCTCTGTAAATGGGCATACATTTTTGTATATATAAACATATTTGACCAAATGGTGTATAAATCTGCATTTGATCTATTTGGGAATGCCAAGAAAGTATCAGCATCTTTATATTGGTGGATGGCCCATTAATAAACGTGCTGTGATTCTTAAAAAAATAAATGGGCCGAGATGGTGATGTAAGCATCCCCTTATTGTCCATGTAAGCATCTTTGATGATGTGGCAATTTATCTATGACGGTTATTTTTCGTCATAGAAAATGGGCTTGGGTTGGTTTAACTGGGCTTTGGGCTCTACTGTGATGGTATAAGACAGTCATAGATTTCTCTAATATGTGATGGTTTTCAGAAAACTGTCTCGGAGGTTAATTCGTGACGTTCAATTCATGATGATATCTAAAACCATAATAGATATGTGATGGTCCAATTGAGTAGGTTAGACCGGCTTATTATAACATTCCACATCTATTGACTCAGTAGACTAATTAAGCCGGTGCTAGCCATTAAAAAGCAGCATTAGTTGGTAATGATAATGTCTAGGCAGTTCAGAGCTCATCTGAGCAAGTTTAGGGTACCACTACTAATCAGATGCAGTATAATCCTAGATCGTCAGTACAACATGTGCAACAGCCGACGGGGCAAGTTCAGAATTAAATGGTTAATTTTGGCATATCAGGCAAGATATCATCGTCGGCTCAAAAAATAACGCCATCAGTTCAAAGGATTCGTAGAGATATAAATCATAACATTTATAACTAGAGACTCCAAGCAGTAAACCAGCCAAGGACCTAACAGATAGAAATTCCACAAGGATATCATTATGGCACAGATTACAATACCCTTCATATGATTCTAAATCCGGGGTATCAAGATACCCGAAACTTTAATCCGCAGATGTGTCAACAATTGCAGAGAAATTCAGATTCAAGTGCTCATGAGTTGTTGCTCAGAGTGACCAAGATGATGAAGAATGAGTTCGGTTTGAAGCCAAAAGAGCAGACCTTTTCGTACAAACGTCCATATCCAGAGTGGTATGATTTGGTCGCTCTTCCTACAAATTACAGGGTCCCAAAGTTTGCTAAGTTCACTGGCCAAGATAGCACAAGCACAATAGAACATGTCAGTCGGCATCTTACATAGTTGGACGAAGCATCCATTGAAGAGGCTCATCGAGTTCGTTTCTTCTCCTTATCCCTGTTAGGACCAGCCTTCACTTGGTTTTCATCATTACCAATCAATTCCATTGTCAATTGGGCTAACCTAGATAAGAAGTTTCATATATATTTTTATACTGGGTTAGGAGAAAAGAAAATTACTGATTTGACGACCATAAGGCAGAGAACTAATGAATCGGGCATCGAGTTTCTTTAGAGGTTCTGAGAGACTAGAAATTTGTGCTTCTCATTGAACTTGACTGATGATCAGCTAGCTGCTTTGACCGTTCAAGGAATGTTGCTAACGTGGAGAGAGCAACTGTCAGGGCAAGAGTTTGACAATTTAGGTCAGTTGGCTCAACGAGTGGCAACGCTCAATAGCCAATTCTAGAATATGCGCAGAGATACCCGATTCCAGAAAAATGCCGCAATTGCCAAAACCTATAATCCATATTCAGTTGATGGCAGCTATGAGGACGACGAAGAAGAAGAGGTTGTTGTGGCCGAATGGAATTGGGGTAAGAAGACAGTAATTATACCAAACCCTTGGGCAAAAGGAGTTGAAGAGAGATATGATTTCAATGTCACGAAATCGAACAAGCTCTTTGATTTCTTGCTTGAGAGGGGACAGATCAAGTTACCCGCCAATCATGTTATGTTGCCTCCTGATCAGTTAAAGAGTAAGAAGTTCTGCAAGTTTTATAATGCTACTTCTCATTCTACTAATGAGTGTAGAATTTTTTGGCAACAAATACAGAGGGCTATTCAGCAAGGGAAGCTCAAATTTGATACACCTTGGAAGATGAAAGTTGATGATAATTCTTTCCCAAGAGATTAGAACATGGTTGATGCTAGGTTACTCAAAGGGAAGACTAAAGTCCTAACATCAACTAGGGCCAAAGAAGCCAGGACCATCGACCTGAAGATGCAAATATCGGCTGATGAATATAGAGAGATTAGAAGGCGTCGTGATCAACAGAAGAGCTAATATGAGCAGGGAGAGACGTCAAGGGACGGGGTGATAAGGCCGTGTGTCACATCTCGGATTTTGTTGAATAAATGACAACGACAGAAGGAAAAGGATTATCAGCGTTGGTTAGAAGAGAAAGAATACCAGTGTCAACATGAGAAAGAGAGGTATGAAAGAAAACAAGTTGAATCATATTAGAATTGTCCTTTCTTCAGACATTGTTAGAATAAAGGTTTGAAATTGCCTACTAGAAATAATTGTCTAGAGTGCAGTGAGCAATATTGAGAGTTTATGCAATCTCAAGCCAACCACCGGTCTATTCATGCTCAAGATAAGTATCATCATAATAATATGGATCGACGCTTAAAAATAGAAGTATTCATGATCGGCTTGGAAAATGAGTTGTTGATCAAAATTGGGCGGATTATGAAGAAGATAATGAGGAAGAGTATGTTTGGCAGGAAGGGTAATGGTGTCCAGGAGGTTTGACAAGAAGCCAGAAAAGAAGGGTATAACGCCTAAGGAATAGAGAGCTAGAACAGGTCCAGGCATCTGGTAGGCCTCAAGTGTGGCGCGCGAAACAAACAGCCGATAGGGGTCAACCATCGGCTAATATTCAAATGGCTTTTCTATTGCCATCAGAATTAAAAGCTCCAGCGGATCAAGAAGTCTATTCAGATTTTGATGAATCGGAGTATGAGGAGATAGTCGTCAAGTTGACAGTTGTACATCAGGCTATATTCGATAAGCCAGTCAAGCATCAGCACTTAAAAGCTTTATATATAAAAGGTTTTATCGATGGTAAGCCGATGAGCAAAATGTTGGTAGATGGAGGTGCTTCTGTTAATCTTATGCCTTACACTACTTTTCGCAAGCTTAGCAAGGGACCAGAAGATTTGATTGATACCGACATGGTGCTTAAGGATTTTGGGGGTAATGCAACCAAGACCAGGGGGGTAATGAATATCGAATTGACAATTGGAAGTAAAACTTTGCTCACCACATTCTTCGTCATTGATGGAAAGATTTCATACAGTTTACTCCTTGGTCGTGATTGGATTCATGTAAATTATTGTGTACCATCGACCATACATCAGTGTTTGATGCAGTGGCATGGAGATGATGTTGAGCTGGTTCACGCTGATGATTCTGTAAGTATCGCAACAGTTGATCCAGTATATTGGGAATTGGAAGACTTCGAGTGTTTTTCTGGCAAGCTATGGGCAGGAGGCTTCATTAAGATCAATGATGAAAGCCAACAGCCGATCCAAACAATCGGCTTTGAGAGTTTGTTTTAATGGATAATCCAATAGATGGTACAGGTGGTAAGCTAGGGCATGGCTTTACGTCGGCCGGTGAATTAAAGGAGATAGACATTGATTCTAGAGATAGACCTAGGCCGACGTATGTGAACGCTAAGTTGAATCCTGAGTACAAGCCAGAGTTGATAGATTTATTAAAAAAAATTTAAAGATTGTTTTGCTTAATGAGATGTCTGGCCTAGATCGGTTAATTGTTTAATCTTTGGTCTAAAGAGTTCTGGTGCAACCTGTCAAGAAGCAATCGATGGAAAATGTTTAAAGGAATATTATCCTAGCATTTGGATCAATACTTGATAGCCGATTTGTTCAGTCATCGGCTCTAATAGCCGGTACCAGAAAGGTATCGCATTTAGCTCAAAATTAACCCAAAAAGGGGAAAACCCGATACAAGATGTATCGCCTATAGAGCAAAAATAAATACAGAAACAATCATGATGTATACAAAGACATTGCAAAAGTACACTGAAATACGATCATGGAAAAACAGAAGATTTTATTCATCGATTAGTTTGCCCTAAATACAAAATAATCAAAGACATTGTTTATCACATCCTGAGCGGATGTGATGTCCACAATGGCCTCTGCTGCATTAACGAATTCCTCAATCAACTCGTGCTCCTCGGGGTCGTCACCCATCGGGAAATCTGTCCTCATGGTATGGAGCTCGGACCTGGTCTGGACCTGCACCGCGGCCAGTGCCACTGATGCGCCACGATGGACGCCATGAAGGGCACTCTCCTGGACATGAGCCGTGACGTCATGGAGGCGGGCGTTGATGAGGGGGCCCCAGGCTTTGACGGTCGTCGTAGCCACGTTCGCCGCCAGTCGGAGGGACTCTAACTACACCGTCAGGGCTGGCGATCATAGAAACAAAGAATATATCAAGGCAAAGATAGTGGTAATCAAAATAAAGGTGTTCTTGAAGTCCATCTTACCCACCACCATGGTGTCGGACTCGACCAGCCGTGCCTGAGCAGCGTTGGCCTCTTCCTCGATGGCATGAAGGGTA